ACCTACCTACCTACCTACCTACCTACCTACCTACCTACCTACCTACCTACCTACCTACCTATCAGAATAGAGCTGGAAGGAACCTTGGAAGTGTTCTAGTCCAACCCCCTGTTCAAACCCCCTATACATTTCAGACTGTCTAGTTTCTTCTTAAAAACCTCCAGTTAACTTAAAAAACATCTTCTGATGGCAAGCTATTAATTATTCATTGTTAATAATCAAATTTTGACTAGATTCATGTCAACATGCTAAACCCTGGTTTGTTAAACCATGTTGTATTAAATAAAGTACCGGTCAGAGTCTCACAGCTTGCTATGCCACAAACACCAGTTTATATTGGTTGGGTTTATTTGCATAAGGTGAGCATCTAAAAACTGACATTGCTCATCATTGGTGGAAGGATGTAGGAGGCACCCTGAAAGGCTGAAAACCACAGCTACAAAGTGGGATTCAGTGAAGCTGGCAAACTGTGAACTTGGGTTAAGCTTAGAGTTCATTAAAAATTAGCTAACAAAGAATAATTTTGCTCGGTTTTTTTTTCTGTTTTGTTTAACCTGACTTGGGGATCCTGCCATCCTGGTTTATGATGTGCGGTATTGTAACTCTCAACATTAGCCAATCAATTTTTTGGGTTCATATAAGCAAACTTTGGTTAGGTAAGGTAAAGGTTCCCCTCGCACATATGTGCTAGTCATTCCTGACTCTAGGGGGCAGTGCTCATCTCCGTTTCAAAGCTGAAAAGCCAGAGCTCTCCGAAGACATTCTCCGTGGTCATGTAGCTGGCATGACTCAACGCTGAAGGCGCACAGAATGCTGTTACCTTCCACCAAAGGTAGTCCCTATTTTTCTACTTGCATTTCTGATCGACAAGCTTAGCAGCCACTGGACCACTGCGTCCCGAAACTTTGGTTAAGTAGAAAACATAAACCCAAACTATGTAAAACTGAAGGACTTTGATTAGTTTCTAATATAAAAATAATCTCAATTTGTCCTCTTTCGTAGCTAGTCCCCTGCCCATATATTTTAGAATTCAATTCTCCAATAGCCAAAGCGGCACTCACCGAGAGGCAAGAAGGCAAGCTGGTTTCCCGCCATGGACAACTCATTGAGGCTGGGAAGCTGGCAAAGATGGCGAGGGACGTACCAGAGATGATTCTGGTCAGCAGTGAGGTACTGAAGAGAGAGGCACATGTGCAGCTTTTCAGGCAAGGTTATCAAATGATTGGTTGAGATGTCCAGTGTCTGCAGCTCTTTAAGGTCTCCAAGCTCTACAAACACAACGACAAAATCAGCCAAAAGACGTTACATTTCATACTTTACAAGAAACACTTCAAGGAAAATCCAGAATAAACAGAGTTGGGAGGAACCTTGGAGGTCTTCTAGTCCAACCCACTGTTCAAACAGAACACTCTATAACCGTGATGATAAACCTATGGCACGCGTGCCAGTGGTGGCAAGCACAGCCATCTCTGTGGGTATGTGCGCCATCATCCCAGCTCAGCCAGCTGGTTGTCGGATTTCCGAGGTGCACATCCGTGCCAGCCAGCTGGTTGTTGGGTTTCTGGTGCACACACACCTTCTGGTTTGGGCACTCTGTGCCTAAAAGGTTCGCCATCACTACCCTAATGTCAGCGTTCCAAATATCATCCAAAATTAAATCAGAGTCCAAGGCAGAACTTTCCTCAAATTTCCAATTTATTAAGAGAGTTTTCCACAGTTGTTGGACCAACAATGGAAAACCTGAATCTGAAAGCTTCCCCTTTTTCTCCCAGTTGAAAGTTCCAGATCTTGCCTCCACGCCTACAAGTTCATCATATGGTCATATCTTCTACTGGCACGCTGGTAGTTCCACCCATCCAGTTCCGGTCAGGTGCAGAGGTGCAGAGACAAAGAATGACCTTGGGCTTCTAGAAAGGAATGCTTTATTTTGACAACAACATTCTATTCCTTACTATTCCCCCTCCCAATTGCCCCACTAATGAAACAGCATAGTAAAATAACACAGAGTGTGGCAGCCCAAAGATCCTAAAAGGAATATGACTGGAGGCCTGACACCTATAACATTCCAGGCAAATGGATGTCCAGTCTCTTCTTAAAAACCTCCAGAGATGAAGTACCAGGTAACTGTTCCTAACAGTTCTAACGTCTTCTATAGAAGA